GAACATGTGGTGTTTGCTCTTCTGCTCTTCTGTCAGTTTGCTGAGAATGATGGTTTCCAGGTTCATCCATGTCCCTACAAAGGACACAAACTCATCGTTTTTGATGGCTGCATAATGTTCCATGGTGTATATGTGCCACATTTTCCCTGTCCAGTCTATCATCGATGTCACCCTGTTTTAAACTCTCTGCAACTCTTATCAACTTACAGGAGTTCCTGCTGTCCTGCCTCTTCGTCAGCACTTGGTATTGTCAGTCACATTTATTTTAGCCATTGTAGTGTGAGTCAAGGATTCCAATTGCCTTAATACTCATAAAAGCCTGGTCCTCAAGTCTTTACAATGCAGTGAAAATTATTCTCTTCCTGTCTGATACAGCGGTGTGGGTGTCCCCAGTGCTGCAGGCATTCTGGGGAGGGCTTCCTCAACCAACTGTTGACGGTGCAATTATCACCCAGCATAAAGGAGTGATACATCTATTTTAGGATTAGTCATCTGTGAGCCCCACAGTTGTTCTTTAATGATAGCAAGAATGTGCCACCAAGGTTTTGCTGAATTGGAAGGACAGGGAAGGGACCTGAAGAATGTTATTTCTTTATTGTAAGAAAAATACATTTTGAACTTCAGAACAGTTTTTTAAGACCACATTTTTATAGTCTTTTTAGAAAATGATTCCCTGCTCATATAAGTTTGAAATATTTTTCTCTCTCTGTGCTTACTAGGCACATTAGCCCAGCAAAATCCTGCAGTAAGGAACATATTTACTTTTATTTAAGCCATTGTTTCAAAAATGTATTTTTCTGCACATCCTTTTCTCTTTCTCTTTCTTTCTTTTTTTTCACATCACCTTTCAATATCCTTTCCTCATGACATATTTTGGGAAATATTGGTATAAAACATGGATGGCAAGCCTAAAGTCAGCATTCTTGGTTTCAATCCGTTTAGCCAAGCTTAACCAAGGAGAGCCTGCGAAACAAACATATTTTGAAGCAATTAAAATTTGGGTGGTAACTCATTCTTTTCTTATTTACACCAAGCCCACTGGAGAGAGGCCAAGTGCAATTCAATGCTTATTACATCTCGTTGCATATTATTGGTACTTAGTAAACATTAATTATTAGTGGGTAGTTGAATAAATGATAATGGTAATAAGGATCATGATAATGCTGTATTTTCAACTTTGCCATAAACCAAAACATTTGAGAAAAATCTTGAGACAGCTTGTAAAACCCAAACACAGCTGGGCTCTCTCATCTCCAATGAGGATTTTTCACTCTGAAACAAATAACAGTTGCTACATAAAGAAAAACAGGTTGACTTGGGTCACTGAGAGACGGTTACTTAGCCCATCATGTATCCAGTGACAAATCCACCTGCCAGAATTTTCTAAAGCGTGCCCATGATGGACTATGTCTCTTCTGTCCCTTTAGGAGTTTCCAACAGGTCACTGCCTCATGGGCTCCCAGGTCCTAAAGGACTGAGTCCCGCCTGACCTAGGACATCATCTGCTATAATCTCCCACATACCCATGGGCCAACCCACTTTCCTTCATTTGTCTGTTCCTACAGTGATTCAACAAGCATTTATAGGGAGCAAATTGCTTATGAGGCCTGGGCTACAGTAACTGTGAACAAGAAATGTGGCTCCTGTCTTCATGCAGCCTGCTGTTTGCTGCAGTGGCACCTAATTCTTGCTTTTCTCATGATGCTTCCCTTGGTAGATTCTCCTCCCCCTTCCTATTTGCTACTGTGAGTGCCACTTTCCTGTTAGGACCCAGTTTGGGGTTTACTTCCTCCAGGAAACATCCCCTGATCTTACTACCTGACCAGATAGAATCACAGAAATGCTTTGAGTTGGAAGAGATCTCAGCAACCTTGTAGCTGAAGACAATGAAGTTTAGGGCCATTAAGCAGTGGACCTAGGCACATCACTCATGATTGGCCATGATTCTTATCTTACTCCATCATAATATTGCATTACTGCTTTCTAATATGCATTTTAGTTTTTCCTTCTCAAATCGATTACTTTTATGCCTTGAAGACTTCTATCCATGAAGATAGGTTTAATTTACTCTTTCCTCTCCTCACTGCTTACAAGATAAAATCCAAGCTTTTCTGCTGGATGTGCAGGGATCCAGTTGGCTCCAAACAACCTTTGCAGCCGCAGTGCCTGCCATGTGCCTCTTTGCATTTGATGCCTCAGCCACCCTGGGCTTCCCAACCACATGCCTGTGCAGCTGCTTATGCTGCTCTCTGCCAGGAAAGCCTGGGGCCTCTTTACCTGGAGAACGTCTAGCCTTCTAAAAGGTCTTGTGAAAATAGTGTCTTGTGCGAAGCATTCTTTGATCACCTCCTGCCCTATAGACAAAGTAATCAGACAATGGAAATACCACTACAGGGATGCTTCTGGGAAATGTGTCGTAAGGCGGTGTCATCCTTGTGCAAACTTCTTAGAGTGCACTACACAAACCTAGATGGTACAGCCTACTATGCACTAGGCTAGGCAGGGCAGCCTACTATGCAGTAGGCGAGATGGTACAACCTACAATACACTAGGCTAGATGGTATAG